TATTTTGATTATAGTGTTGCTTATATATGTTTAGAAAACAATTATTGTTAAATTAAATACATATTTGTTGCTTTCTGCAGTACAAGGAATCCAGATTGCAAACCAGCTTAGTATGGTAAATCAATAGTAGGAGATTCTAATGTGGTGGTGGGATGGTTGCAAAATCCAAACTGTCTTATGGTGCTATACATATGAAATCAAGAAATTCAAATGGTATACAAGGTGTATGAATGTACAAATACAGTGAGTTAGGAGATCAGAAAATACTATGGCTGATTTTCTAGCCAAACAAGGGACAAATAGGGATGTGTCGTACTAGGCTTAGTTGTAATCTGTTTATTAATTTGTTCTATTTATTTTTGATCTGGGGAAGGTTGCAACTCACGCCTCTCCAAGGGATGCTTGTACTGGTTTTAAGCTCTTGATATTAATAAATTAATCATCAAAAAGAAAAATGTTGGAAGCAAAATCCCCACCTGAAGATAGATAGATTTAAATCTAGTAAGGAAATGTAAATGTAACTACAAACCCCAGCAATAGTCATACACTTGCCTGTTCCCAATCATCATCTAGAACCTCAGAGATGACAGAGTTGAGTTCATTCCCAATCATCAACATCTAGAACCTCAGAGATGATGGAGTTGAGGAGTTTACTTGCACACCTTGAGAGTAGTTGAATTCCTACCCCTACTAGTCCTAGTGCTCCTTCTAGTGCATTTGCTAAACCAGGTGCAGTACTTGCCCTACATGCCTCCACCTTTGTTCCTAGTCCTTGGACTGTTGACTCAAGTGTTAGACAGTTATGCCTTTTATCTCTAATCAGATTGATGTACCTTTTTGACATTTTTTGTAAATGAATAAAATACATAATTGATTCATGTCATTGTGGTGTGTTTCTGTGTAATACCCTTAAACTGGACACTTATGAGACTCGTGTTAGTTTAGAATCTTCACAGCCGTTGGATAGACTTGGGGAGATTTATCCTGCCAAGGCTGACACTGATGTGCCGCCAAGTTGGTTGGGGTGGCTTGTCTTAGCTGCCAGGGTGGGACTTGAGGTACATGCAGTGTGGGTTTTCTTGAAACCCTGAACCGGACCAAAATTCCAGTATAGCCCTGGACCTTGGAGATAGATGGGCAAAATTGGAGTGTTACTCCTGACCCCTAGACTCGATTATGATACTGCACTAGGTGTAGGATTGGGCTGTCTTTGATATGCCAATTAGTGAGATCCTTAGAGGGGGTCAAAACCTGGGCATGTTGGGACAATCCGAGAATTCATCTGAGTGGGTGATCATAGTGACAAGATCAGCCCCTTTGTTGGACAAAGTGAATGATCGGGGATGCACTCTCTGATGGAAACCTAAACTGCCGGCAGTTGATTTCAACCGTTGAAATTTGCTTTGCAAAATATATTTATATAAAGATATACATATATATATATATTATGGTTTCAAAATGTTTGCAAAAGGTTTTAATTCCCGGGATCCATGTGAGTAGAGAGTGTAGCACTGTACCTTGCAGCCGAGGGAGATGTCCTCTCTTGTCGGGCAGTGTTTGATCATTATGGGCTGAGAGGTTAAGTGTAAGACCATTGAGGGTAAT